CCAGCGACAGCGCTGGGATTTTCTATGAATTTTTTGACCTACGTGTCAATGATAAATATGTCGAGAAAAAGGAAAAGACTTTTAGATCATTAGATTGTGCATTCATTATACTATTGATTATAATATGTTCGATTTTACATTCCTGACAATTATTACAAAATGCGAGGAGCTACCGTATTGAGAACCCCTTTCCGGTTATCGACAAATTTATGCTCGGGCCCTATCATACCAACAGTTCCGTACGCTCCATCGTAGTCCATGCGCCACCGCTACGATTTTTGTTGTTGAACACTTTACATTGGCCCTGTTCATCTCCCCTATAATCTCTGATCGAATAGTTCCCATAAGCCTGAGCAATCTCCCCTATTATCTCTGTCTGAACCTCTACTTTAGTCAATCCTCTTTGGGTACGACTGTAGAGGCCCCCACACACACGCAGCCCACACAAATTGCACATAATAAGAAATTGCTGTGCATTTCACATTTGAAGACGGTCGGCCACTACCCGCTATATATATACATTGCCGCAATTCTGTCGCGCTGGTCGCGATTATTATTTCATCGAATTATTTCATATTTATTCGTGATTACAAGGTGAGTTTCAATTCATAATCACTTCAAACTCACTCTTCGAAGTATTCACCATGAACGAATGAATGAGGTGACCTTCCAAACCGCAAAAAAAAAATTGTGAGTCTAACCGTTAAAATTTTCAAGGGCTTCGGCAGTTGAGGAAAGACAAAGGACCCTACTTTTTTTCGATCTTTCATTGCTCATTGATTCGGTAAGCCGTAAATTTGGTTTTAATTATTTTATTCTTTCATTTGTTACAATATCAAAACGATTTCAAAGGTGCAATGCCATACGAATTAAATAATTCCTGTTACAAGCGATTTATATTAGTAACATACTGAAATTTCACATTCCTGAGAGACAGTGGTTGTTCATATATATGTTTTTTTTTATTTATTTGTATTTTATAATTGGATATTCAGTGATTTTCGATAATTTCGAGAGAATTTATTTAATCATGTTGATGCTTACCAAATACCAAATACTATTGAGTTTTGTCTGGATATTGGGAGTTTGTATTTATTTCGTACGTTTTATTTCTGTTTCAGGTCATTGTTGCCATCATGCCGGCTCCCGAGGCTAACCACAACAGTCGTTTGGCTAAGTTCAAGAATAATTTCAAGTCTGAGGTATATTTCAATGTCATTCCAATGTCATCGAATGTTCAGTTGAATTGAATCATTTATTTCCTTTTTTTATACATTCAATTGATTTTGCTTCATAACAAATCCATGGGTTCATTCCTTTTTGTCTCATTTCTTATGAGTTAGCGGCACCACATTTTCTCTACAGAATGACCTATTACGCATAATCAAGTCCCTTTATTGTTAGACATATTTGATGTTTTACATTGAGGATATTTACCCATTTTCCAAAAATGATTTTTTTTCACGTTCAAGGAAAATTGTGCCATTTTTTAAATTGATGGAGGAATATATGAATCCAATGTATCTGATGAAATTAAATAAACAATTTTTTGTTATACCCAGGCTCTCATGGATTTCATCTTCGAATTGATAATTCATCTACTGTCAGACTTCAGAAATCGAAATAGAAATAGGGAGCAATGCAAAAATTATACTGAATCCACTTGCCAAGGAAAAACCTTCGGTATTCAGCGAAATAATGCAGATATTTGACACTTTGAGCCTTATATAACTCATATGCTAGCGCCTACATCCGATGCATAGTGTCTCTTTTATGTCCGAATGATATGTCCAGCGGGTTAAGGGATGAACATTTCTTTGAATACCAAAAAGATAACTTTCTCTATAATTCGCAAAAAAGCTTTTGAGTGCTCGCAGTTTTGGATAAACTTTCGTAAGACATTGTCTACAGAAGCTGCACTCCCCGCATTCTAGTTGAACTATATACAAATCGAGTTCTACAAAATAAAAATATTCCAATCAAATTATGCATTGTGCAATTTGAATTCCGCATTGTAGAATTCAAAATTGGGTGCAATTTGACAGGCGTAATTTGAACATGTGGAATTGAAAGAAAAGACCATTAATTTTGGCCCAAGTTTTATAGATTTTACATTTTTTAAAAATTACACCATTTCAATTATACTTGAATTATAGATGTCTAGTTGCCTACGATAAATTAAACAATCATATGTTTCAGTTGTACAATGTGTACTTGGAATGATATCCAACAATTTAGCAGAATTCAATATGTACATTACGTAATTGGAATGTGCGAATTAGGATTTCTGTAGATAAGCACAAAATGTCATTCTGTCGCGAAAATGTTGTTTCGGCGTTGAAATACTTCACAATTATCTTGGTAATTATGGTTTCAAGGAGAAAATGCCACGACACCCTTCGTTTTGACTGTGAAAAATACTTCAGCAGCTTTTTTCCTTAGAATCCCTCAAGGCGATATAATTTGACGAGCATTGTGATCTTAAGTGTCAATGAGGATAAAGCGCAAAGATCGCTTGATCCTTAGGATCATTCTGTTCTTCTGATTATTTCGTTTAACCTTTGAGAGCGTTTCACCCTCGAGAAACTACTCCGCCCGTTTCTGCTGTTTGACCCTTCTTATTATTCTGCCCATTTTCCCGTTTGACAGTTGAGAACTTTTGAACATTCGGATTATTTTGCTCATTTTTCCTCCCGTTTTACCTTCAGGATTGTTTCGTTTGTCATTATGGAATTTCACAGAGGAGATATAAACCTCGATAGAAATTTGTTCGCGCAGAATGTTCAGGAACAACTCTTGATTCATATTGATATTTGGAAGAAGTAGGCATGAATGATCAGCCAATAGTCCCACTTTTTTATTCACGATTGGATAGAATTGCCTCTCAAACTAAGAGTGACATTTACGTGATTATACATCGCGCGACCTCTGAACTTTATACAGTTTTTGCGGAAAACAAACACTTTACGGCCACTAAACCATTCCGAAAAATGAACTTCTCAGGCTGGTATTGCACAAAAATCATTTTATTGAATCCCCTTCAATAATTTTTCTCCATCACCAGGATGCTCGCAGGAGACGCAATGAGGTATCAGTAGAACTTCGTAAAGCACGTCGTGATGATCAGCTCCTAAAACGTCGCAACTTGACAATCGAGCCTGAGCCCTTAAAATCACCAGACGAGCATGTCCAGTCTCCCATAGGCATGTCCATCGACGAGATAGTCGCGGGAATGAATGGACTCGATGAAGTACTACAGCTGCAAGCGACACAAGCCTGCAGAAAAATGCTGTCACGTGAGAAGCACCCACCCATTGACATAATGATCTCTAAAGGAATTGTTCCACGATGCATCGAATTCCTCTCCTATCACCACAATCCAGCACTTCAGTTCGAGGCTTCTTGGGCGTTGACCAACGTGGCCTCGGGTACATCAGAGCAGACAATGATTGTTGCTAGCAATGGAGCTATTCCCAAGCTTGTGGAGTTAATGAAATCACCAGCAAAAAATGTAGCGGAGCAGGCAGTCTGGGCTCTTGGGAATATTGCTGGAGATGGTCCTGAAGCTCGTGATCAGGTATTGGAGGAACAGTCTATGCCATTACTGTTGAATCTCATAAAGACCGACACCTCAGTATCCTTCACAAGGAACATCGTCTGGACAATCTCTAATTTATGCAGAAATAAAAATCCACCACCATCATTTGAGATTGTCAAGTTGGCCCTGCCTGTTCTCAATCGTCTGCTTACTGGTGATGACCCTGACATTCTGGCGGATGCCTGTTGGGCTCTATCCTATCTGACTGATGGTGAGAACTACAAAATTCAAGCCGTGGTTGACTCTGGAGTTGTCCCTAAGCTTGTCGCACTTCTTGCATCCCCCGAAGCTACAGTTTTGTCACCTGCATTGAGGGCTGTGGGGAATATTGTCACTGGTAATGATACCCAGACCGATGCCATTATCAATGCTGGAGGACTGCCCAATTTGAAGCGATTATTGGAGCATAAGAGGGTGAATATCGTCAAGGAGGCTGCCTGGACCATCAGCAATATCACTGCTGGGAATCATGAGCAGATCCAGCATGTTATTAATGCTGGAATTCTCCCCCCTCTCATTCATGTTCTTGCTACGGTAAGTGGAATTTTTTTTCCTCACATTTGAAAGGTAAGAAAAGGATCTTATACTTTCAGTGACCCGGTTATGGAATCCGCTTTACATTTAGCCGAAAATCCATGCGATCCTATATATTTATTGTGATAAACAAAGTTGAATAGAAACTACAAACTGATACTTTCTTTGAAGCCAAGAACATCCACTCAAAAATACTTCTAAGTCATTGGAAATAATACTTTTCCATAACAGGGTCCCGTTTCTTAAAGATAATCGGGCGAGGAGGAAATGTAGGAGGTGAGGCGGAGGGATTTCTATTGTTTTCCTGCAGAAACCCAATCGCTGAACAAAAATTTTTTCCCATTCGGATTCAAAATTCAGGCAATATTAGGGAGTATCTCCGGTTAAAATTTTTTTTTGGAGCTAATCAAATTTATTTGCATCTGTTCCACGCATTGAATGGTTTTCAGATTGTTTTTTTTTTATAAATGAAAAAATATTAATCCATGCAAAAAAGTGGCGACATCGTTGGTAGTGTTTTTTTTTTCACCAGGAGCTGGTACCACTGGTTCGAGGGAGCTCCAATCACAACGTTTCATCGCTCTTTCTCAAGAGACGTTTAAATTGACCGCGCTACCCCCACCCGATCGGTACTTGAGACGTGCGTGCACAGAAATTTCATTTTTCAGTACTTTTTTCGCTATTATTAATAAACAATGCTCCTAGGCGACAATCTTTTTCACTCAAAAAATCATTGATCACATGTTCTAAATGTGTCTAAAGTTTCATGACTTTGGCTGCTTTTTTTCTTTGGGTTTTGCAGTTTTTTTTTTATTTCCATAAGATCACGGGTTAAATGACCACTTTTTCAAAAAATCATAATAAATTAACCATGTTCCCGAGCAGTCTGAAACTTTGCACACGCCTTTTCCATCATTTAAAGAATACGTAAAAAATAAAAGAGAAAAATGGCTACTTTTTTTCTAACCCTCCGGGCTCGCCCGATTATCCTTAAGAGTTCCCTGACTCGGTCACTGACGATACTATGTTAAATTGAGGAGAGGATAATTGAGAATAGATCGAATAAATATCGTTAGCTGTATAGAAAAGTAACGTAAGTGCCAAAATACAAGAATTCAATAGAAAAAGAGAAACAAAAAACAAATATGGGAACTGGAATTAAAAATTAAAAACTTCTGGTATAAGGACATTTTTTGGAGCTCCGTCAAGCTGGGCGGCCAGGGTACTCAGAATGAGTCGGTCAATAGCTCAAAATTATGAGCTTTTTACATGCTTTTTTTCTGCGCGAACCAAAAATTTTCTGCTCAAATATTTTCGGCGAAAAATCGATTTTCACGATTTGGGCATCAAGCTAGGCGGCCAATTCA